TATTTTCAGTAACTTCCTTATGAGCGCTCTTTGCAGTACTCAGCTTACTCTGCGTATCCTGTAGTTTCTTCACTTCGAGCAAGATTCCCGTGAGCTCTGACTTGAACTTATTCCTCTTCTGGCGCATATTCTTGAACGCATCAGTACCAACAGTACCCAGGGTTCTCACTCTGAGTATCATATCATTGATTTTCTCCATTGAATCTTGCGAACCTCTCAAGAGGCCTGCTTTCAACTTCTTGCTGTCAATTCAAGATTTCCTCAGTTTGCTAACAGCAGAGTTATTCATGTAGAATACATTGTCTTCAGAAATCGTCCATGGCTCGAGAGATTCCAGATCGAAGTTAACTGAAGACACTGAACAAAACTTACTCTTTGTTACATCGTGAAGATTCAACTCCGAGGAATGATGCTCCTCTGTCGCTTGATAGTGTTTGGTAGGAATAGCGATTTTGGGTTCTTCAGGTGATCCGTTATTGAAGTAGTTTGTCAGATAGTTGATCAGCGTAGATTTCCCTGATCCTGTCTCTCCAATCACAAGGAACGTGTATGGAGTCGCTGTTACCATTTCGTCCAAAAAATCTATAAGAAGAGTCTTTATTCACGATGAGAATGAAATATAAAAGGAGAATAAGTGGTTATGAGTAGGTTTCTACATGAATTTTGGGTTTTCTAGAGATCCGAGACAAAAGAGAGAAGTATAGTTGAAATGGAATAACAAATTAGAAAAGGAAAACTGAGCTTCGTGATCTGAGATTACTATGATTTGAAGGAATAACTGACACTTGGTTCACAATGGCAATACTCTAACGCTTCATAGAATGAAACACCAATGTTATCACGTTTTATATACACGATGTAGCATGTCAAGCGCAGCTTTTCAGAGTGAAAATCATTGACCGAGAGAGTGATAGCGTAATAGATACCTATGGCCTCTTTCAGTTTATCATTATTGCCTCGGTAACTCTCTGAAGATAAGAATTATGAGCAAAGTTAGTCATCCATTATTCATTATGCTGATATACTGACTGATGAAGCGATTTTGAATTGAAATGTCCTAGAAGTTAAGACGACCTATTCACATACTCAAAATGTGTTCATGTTCATAGTTGAAGTTCTCTATGATGCTGCATTCAAATCCAATTCGATCTTTAGGGTCAACACGTTCATTTGGGAAATTTTTTTGTGCGCTGAAAGAATGTCCCGAGGCAATAATGATAAACTGAAAGAGGCCATAGGTATCTATTACGCTATCACTCTCTCGGTCAATGATTTTCACTCTGAAAAGCTGTGCTTGACATGCTACATCGTGTATATAAAACGTGATAACATTGGTGTTTCATTCTATGAAGCGTTAGAGTGTTGCCATTGTGAACTTGAGAGTGATAAGTTACGAATAAAATTTGAACAACTGGCCATATTCTTCTGCTCCTGCTTCAAGCTTAAGAACTCCGCATGATGAAGTTCGATGGTCACATTGACCAGGTCTTCCAATTTCTGAAAACACCACATTAGATTTCAAGGGATTAGGAGATTAGGAAATGCGAAAACTATAAGTTAATCGATCGACTTATTATTGATCAAAAAGAACTGAAAAAAACTGTGCGCTGACAAGCATAAAATTTGTCATCATATATTGATTCTGCTGAAATACTGACTGATGCAGCAAACGAAGATCAGAATAATAATGAGGGAATCACGACCTTCCTGATTGACTGTTATTCATATCTCCTATTTACTTTAACACTACTTTGAGTTGCTATCAATGAATGAGTTTTTTGGTAAATGACTGAAAAAGGAATCCTGACCCTGACTCACTCAGTCTTCTATATAAACCCTTATTAACAGATAACACCCGTCATTATGAAAAAATAAAATTCTTGCTTTACTCCTGCTTTGAGTTTTCATCGTTTTTTTTTGTTTTCTACTTACATCATTCACTTATCCTCGTACTATGTATCCAAGCCTGATCTCATTCATCTGATTGTAATGTTCCATGGATGAAGAGTTAAATTCATTCTTCCCAAATCTGGGAATAGAACTAGAAATCTGATGTGGCCAACATGCTGCACCTTGTAGGACACCTTCTCAAGACCACTTGATTAGAATTTTGAATGAATTTCGGTTATATTCACATAATGAATGAGAAATCTTCTTTCAGGTTTTCTACACAAAACCATCTAGGCGAAGCTCAATATGGGTACAAGTGTTCGTAGTTTGACAGCAATGTTTGCACAAATAGGATCCTCATCATCCAAAATACATAACCTCTCATCATGTAACATCCTACTGATCGGAGAGACAGGATCAGGAAAATCTACGCTGATCAACTATCTGACAAACTATTTCAAAGGCGGATCACTTGAAAAACCGAGAATCGCTATTCCTACCAAGCACTACGACGCGACAGAAGAGTATCAATCCACTGAGAAAGATCTTCACGATGCAAAGAAGAGCAAGACCAGTGAGTGTAATACTTATGGTTTCATAAAAGGTGGTTGTCTTTACAACTTCATCGACACACCGGGCCTGAGCGACACAGAAGGAACAGAAAGAGACGACCAGCATATTACAAAAATAATGACTGCTGCAGAGAAAACTGGGTCTATGGCTGGTATTATCATTGTCATAAATGGCACGGTAGCTAGAGCTACAGTAAACCTGCGGAACACTTTGGTTCGTTTGAGAAGTTCCGTGCCGGATATACTTCTGAACAACCTCGTAGTTGTCCTCACTAACTGTTCAGTGTCTACAGCTAACTTCGATCTGGAATCTCTCGAGCCATGGACGATTTCCGAAGACAATGTATTCTACATGAATAACTCTGCTGTTAGCAAACCGAGGCAATCTTGGATTGACAGCAAGAAGTTGAAAGCAGGCCTCTTGAGAGATTGGGAAGATTCAATGGAGGAAATCAACAGTATGATTCTCCGAGTGAAAACCCTGGGTACTGTTGCTACTGATACGTTCAAAGAAATGCGCCAGAAGAGAAATAAGATCAAGTCAGAGATCACGGGAATCTTGCTCGAAGTGAAGAAACTACAGGATACGCAGAGTAAGCTGAGTACTGCAAAGAGCGCTCATAAGGAAGTTACTGAAAATA